TGTGTGTGTGTGTGTGTGTGTGTGTGTGTGTGTGTGTGTGTGTGTGTGTGTGTGTGTGTGTGTGTGTGTGTGTGTGTGTGTGTGTGTGTGTACTTGAGCAGTCGTGGTTTCTCGTCGTTGACCGGCAGCACAGTGACCTGAGCCGTCCCCTGGACTGTGTGGACGCCATCTGTCAGCTGCAGAGCCACGGCGTCCTCCAGGGTTTCTGTGTCATCGTGCATGTACATGATCTTCATGCCTGTGGAGGGAGGAGGAGGAGGAGGAGGAGGAGGAGGGTGATGATGAAGAGGCAGGTGAAAGTGAGGGCAAAGATATTTGGCATTGAGTGGAAGAGGAGAGGAGGAGAGGAGTAGAGGAGTAGAGGAGTAGAAGAGAAGAGAGATGAATAATATCTATTTATGTTTAAACCAGTTGCTTCCTCCCTGAAAATGAAAAGTCTGTTGATGTGTCGGTGAAATATTGAGACGTGTTCGGTTCTTCAGTGACTAAACAAACATAATCATCATTTTCGGTGATTCTCTCCGACAACGTGAACGAAGTGTTCGTCAGCAGGATGAAACTGTCGATTTCCCGTGAACGAGTCAGAGACGAACTCTGCGTGAACATGTGAACTCTCAGAAATAAAGTTGAGTTGAGTGAAGTGAAGTGAAGTCAGGTTGTCGGCTCCTCACCTTGTCGCAGCTCCTGCAGGGTGAAGGAGGTGACGGGGAGGGTCCTCTGCAGGAGGCCGGCCCCCATCTCTTTGTAGCGGCTCATCTCGGCACCGTAGATTCCGTTGATCAGGCGCCCGTGAACCGGCGGCTGCACCACGGTGAAGCTGAGGAGGTCCGGAGGGGCGTCCAGGTCCAAACCGTCCAGTATGGACGGAGTCAGCTCCCTGATCCCGCCCTCCTTCACCTGCAGGAGGAACACAGGAACCGTATGATTGTGTGGCGCCCCCAGGAGGGCGTAATGAGTATTACACACCAGAAAACCTTGATCTTCTCAGACCTGTGAATCTGCAGTGTACGTACGGTGAAGTTGGCGAGCAGCAGAGAAGGCGTCTCATCATTGGTCGGATTGATGATGATGTAGAAGGGGACGTGGGCGGAGCGATGCAAGCCATCACTCACACTAATGGACAGTTGGTCGACAGTTGGCTCCGCCCCTTTGTGTTCAGATTGGACGTAGTTGATGAAGCCAGCAGTCAGATGGACGAGACTGAAGGATTCTGGGAAACAAACAACCTCTCAAACACACGTTTCTATTTCTGTGAGGACACGAACCTCGAGCCTCGAACTCTGAACCCTCACAACTTCAATCCAGATGTTAAACAGACAAATGTCCTCACAAACACAGACGGACACACTGACCCACTCGGACTCCTGCGTTGCTCTTCTCAGATCCAGGCGTTGGCAGCGTGTTCTCCAGGAAGCCGTGCAGAGGCGGGGTCTCCAGGTGAAAGGTCAGCTGGTCCCGGGGGCTGTCGGGGTCTGAAGCCCCCAGGACCCCCCCACACAGACATGCTGAGGAGCCCTCGTCCACCACCAACAGGGACTCACCTGGGACAAGACACAAGCTGCTCAGCAACATGAGGACAATTCACAAGCTGCAGCTTCATTAAGTTTATTTTGCCTGAAGAGAAAAATATGTTGAGTCTCAGCAGCTCGACTGTCCCGTTTCAAATGTGTCCTTCAAATGTGTCCTTCAAATGTGTCCTTCCACTTTTGATCCAATAGGTGGATCCTACTCCTACTACGAATTATCCCAGGAAGCTAACGAGCGAATTGTCTGGCCACCGAGCTGCAGTATGAAAAAAGCAGAGTTGGTGAACAAAGATTTTCAGTAACTGGAAATCCTTCGTAGACCTGACGCCACGGTTCAGCTCGGCCTTCATGGACTTCTTCTTCCACCGAGGCCACAACTGTGTCGAACGAGTCCTTGATAGGGTGCAGCCCTGAGGAGTCGTCCTGAAGGAGCTTGTGATCGACCAGTTAGATCTAAACTTTTCACCTTCCAGCGGGTGAGTTTGTTTTCGTGTTCCTTCGTTCATTGGACGTCTTTTTGAATTCAATGTTTTAATAACGAGAAAACAAAACTTTGGAAAAGGTCCCATCAATATCACGGTGGACACGAGTCAATCAGGCGTCTTTTCAAACTCAGTGAATGTCTTCTAGTTTCTCTTCATCCGCTCAACCTACACATCTGTCCCACTGTCTGTCCGTCCCTCCGTCTCTCTCAGCTGATAATGAATAGGCCCCATCCTGTTAATTAGTCAACACGTCTGACATGTTTATGTATGAATATATAGAGTTGTGTATATATACATTGTGCTGACAGTCCTGGATCCTGCTGATAAACCAGCGTCCTGCGAAAATAAGAAACAAGATGAAGCAGGATTCCTCTTGTTTCTCTGCGTTAATGCTCTTATACTCTGCGTCTTTATTCACTGCTAATTAATTACACCAAGACCCCCCCCACACACACACACACACATACACACACACACACAACCACCAAACCCGGCTCTGTTTGGCGGAGCCGGCGTTGAATGAATGGCGAGGTGTGCCTGCAGGATTAGAGAGTTATCCTGGTAGTGCCGCAGTAATCCGGCGAGCGAGGCGGCAGGAACACGTCGACTATTGTGACCGAGGGAAGCACTTCTTTTCTCTTTTATTTTCTAAAGACATTCATTGTCCAATGTCCACACACACACGGGGACACGATTATCTCACCCAATAGGCTCCCAGCAAACAATGGACAGATTTCACTTAAAACACATCACTGCCAACACACACACACACACACACACACACACACACACACACACACACACAC